ATGGTACATCATGTCACAAATAGATATGTGCATTTGTTTCATGATCTGCTTAACAATAGCGGAATGATGGCCATTTTAAGGCCGAAAATGCATCAAAATCACATATTTTCACAATTCCAGAACCGGATCTCAGTCATGCATGGATGGATTTTGTTCAGATTTAGCACAATGTGTTGTACATATGCAGGTGCATTTCGGTCATGATCTGCTTTGAATGTATATGTCACTCAAATATGAACGGAACGGGGACGTGTCATTGACAATGACTTGTTTATTTCTCAAAATAACCATAAAACGTTGAAGGATAATAAAAAAAAATATTTTAACAAAAGTTGGTGATTTTATGTCTTTTGAAATGAACCACATTTGTTCTGTGATTGCCTTACTTCAAGTGCCGTTGATCCTGTTTACATGGTGTCAAGTAGTCGTCATATTTGTAACTACTGGTCAGTGTGCTCCCTAGGCTGATTTGACACAGATTTTTCTTTATGTAACTAATCTTTCAACTAATCAGTCTGGTATGTCATTCACGTAACCGAAAATACACATTGATATAGTGATCTTAAAACATCTCATTATAGTTTTGGAAATTCGAGAACAGGAATTCACACTTTATAAACAAAATAAATGTAAAAACAAAAGACCATAGCCACATACTCTTTATTTATCCTTGAAACAAGTTGACTTTGTTTGGGGTGGGGATTTCATTTTGTTTTAGGATCTGCTCAAAATTAGTTCTGTTACAGAGCACATTGCTGCGGGCTATTTATTATGTTAACCACTCATAGTTGCATTTAAAAAAACAAAGGAATTATTTTCATTATGTTAGAGGGCAGTATACACCATTCTGTGAAGCTAACTTTAAACACAGCTTTTCAAAGCTTCATTGTTTACAATTATTTATTTCAGTTATTCAAAATCAGTTGTTGACAATGGTTTAAGTGCACAGTATACAAACCCAGAAATGAGGGTATCGCGCCAAAGGGATCAAGTTATAGCCAAAATAACAGATAAACTTCTACATATTCAACAGGTAAGCCTAACCGTTTTTGTTTGCAGATTGGCTGCACATATCTAAGTCTTTTTTGGGGGGATTTTCCAAATTTTTAATGACATCTTGAATGGTCTGAATTTCAAAAAAACTGCATGTTTCTAATAATATATTCATCTAATCATTCTATTTTGCAATTCAAGGGAGAGATGTCCCTATATAACAATTGTTTTTATTCGATACAATTCAATGAAAAGCCATAAACATTAGTCAGTAACGTATAAGAAGAATTGAATTCTCAACCTAGCAATCTCACTGTAAAAAACATACTCCACTCAAAGTTGTGTGCTTAATATATAGCAAAAGTGTTAGTCATGAGCGTCCAAGCAAAATTGAATTTTCAACCTGGCAACCTCAGTAACCATTCTTGGAATTCCATAAGCATTCATCAAGCTGGAGTATCATTAAGTCTTACAGGGTTTAAATGTCACACGCTGCTGCATTCAGTGTTTTATTATAATAGGAAGTATCTACATGTGTGCATAGTTAATTTTTGTAAAGAAGATATAAATTGATATGATTTTAATTGTTTACCAACCAAAAATATATTTTGATTTATTTATGAAAAAAAATGTTTACCTAGTCACTTTTCATTGCACAAATAATCTCGGACCTACAGAATGGCACACACTTGAGCAGTCATTACCAGCGATTAAATCCGGAAGCCAAATGTACTTAAATTACAATTTGGAATCATGGAAGGGGACCCCCCTATAATTTTAATTTAAGGGGTTGTTAATTAAGGACTTGGGGTGCCAGATTACTGTATTTATAAAAAAAACTACTGCAATATCACCAAGACACAATCGAAACAAAAAAAACCAAGGCCAAAACTATGTGAAGAAAAAGTAATTTTTCCAGTTGTTCAACAATTTTCCATCCATTTTCTAATAGTCAGGTAAATAAAAATAAATTTTCTGTTAGAACAAGTTTTCTTTTACGAAATGACATCACAAATGTTATTCTAATTAAAGATTGTGAAATGTTCTCTTGTTAGTTATTGAAAGGGAAATCTGCTGCTCCTGGTGAAGAATTGTACATCAGTGGGAGTGGTGATGGAAAAGATCTACCAGATGTAGGAAGTGGTTGTGATGATGAAGACTGTGAAGGCAGTGGAGAAAGTGGTGATGGTGCTATAGAAACTAGACTAACTGACAAGACAGGTACAGTCACATTTTTGCCTCGTGTTGAAATATTGAATCCACGGGGCACTTAAAAGCAAGTCTTTTAATTCCTCCTTGGTGCTTTAAACAAAATCGGATGTCAGTTTAAATTCATCAAAGTATGGTTGTTCTTGAACATGCAGGTCACCATGGTTTTTTCTCTTATTCAGTATCTATAGTTCAGTATCATTGATTTTTTTTTTTGCAAACTGTTTTTCTATGTCTATAAAAATAAATATTGTGTTTGTTGTTGAAACTACATAATTCATTTTGCCCATCCTGTATATCAAGTTGAGCTGGCATCATAGTTTCAGAAGTATGATTATGATCAAACCAACTTAGAAACTTTTGCAGTTCACTGAACTGTTCAGTTTACAGAGGTCTTTTGTACAGTGAAACACCATGGGGACTGAAAAATTGTTTAACAGTAGTTTTCTGTTCATAGAGGTAAATTGTGAAATCTGTCTAAACTGAACACAAAAGGGACTGAACATTTTTGATCGGAGACTTGCTTCGTGAATTTTCCTACTATATGGTTTTATAAGCTAAACGTATCAGTAAATACTATAACATAGCAAATATTTTGAGACCTTGCTTAGATTGTGATATTATAATTATATATATATATATATAATCATCGTTTGGGTCTATCATATTACTGGTATGCCACAATGGTATAATTTTTTTATATTCAGCCATGCCTTATGACATGGGCATCCAGGTGAGGTGACTGTATTGATAGTGATTCAAAGGGGAGTTTTATAACTGATTTCTAGTTGATCTTTTAATAAATCTTTCTTCTTTACAGATGCCCCTGTACGGGTTTTAGTAACCACAGAAACGGCAGAAGATTTCAGCTTTGAAGAAACCACGACGATTGGATCGTCCATCATTCCAAAACTTGGCGGAACAGGCAAAAAAGGAGAAACAGTGGACAATCCATCATCAGCATCACATCTTTCAAAATCAACACTTGCCACACTAACAGTTATTATAGTTACAGTATTTCTCAACAGGCGGTAGAAACTATCTATGCAACACAAATTAGAACTGCTCTATACATGTATATGTTATGTAGGAAATTCAATGCATTTTGTTACCATACTTTTTTCTTTTTTTTTTTGCATAAAATAAAAATGTATATTACTGCAATGGACATTTACTATAAGGGATTACTTTCAAGTTACTGTTTGTATTGATTACAACTGATCAATATCGGGAGTAATCTGTATTTGTTTTATGAGCTGCAATTTAACACACAAGATCCCAGAATACATATATATTTTTTTAACTTGTCATCTTCATAAGCCCCAGTTACTTCACACTGGGTATGTCAAAATTGCCCCTGTTAGTCTCAGCTTGGCTTTTTAAATCTGGTTAGTGAGTCATGTCCAATATGAAATCAGACTCTGAAACTGCTGGAATCTCTGTTTAATAACTGATTGGGTCAAAAATGCCAAAATCAGGGTTTAACTGATTCATTGTTTAATGACATCTCCACAACAAACCTTTCAACATAACCACAATATGCTCTGTGCATGATTTCTACAGGTCGCACATCCTGGTACTTTTGGGGGAGAAAGGACAATATTCCAATCAATGGAAACTTGCTGACAGTTGATCTTCAAAAACAGTTTAACATAGCAAGTGATTTATAATATTGTAAGCATTGCTGTTATAGTTCCCTAACATCCCCCACCCCACTCCTCACTCTGCCACCCCTCCAGAGCACCAGCATGTGTTACCCTAAGTGTGTTGGGGGAGGGGGGGGGAATAGGTGGGCGTCGTGCATAAGTAATTTTGATTGTGTACAGTAATCAACAAACAGAATTTTAAACATTGCATAGATATCCAAGGAATTTATTAAGACAATTCATGCTAGCATTTTAATAAGAATTTGTACATTTATACTTGGCTTATGTTTTTCTTTGAACCATTGAACTTGCAGGGACTGTAACATCAGGCTTTTAATTAACAGTTTCAGAGATGAACCTTGCAAATTAGGTTTATTAGTCATTTTTTTGTACACATGTCGTGTGTCTTTTTGAAAAGCATTCTCTGATTAGCAGTTGTATAAAAACAGTTTTGTAACATTAAGTATGCTTCACTTTGTACAGCCTTTTCAACAAATTATTGTATCATTTGTGTATTCTTAGAGCCATTATCATGACATGAAAAAACAAGTTTCCTGATTTAAAATAATACCACTACACTTTTTTAATAGGTCAGGTTTATATTATATTGGTAAACTGAAAACTGCCACGTTTTCTTTTTAATATATAGTTTATTTTTACTCTTTTATTTTATTTAAAATTTAATTATTGCTTTGTTGTAATTGTAAGGCTCGCCTAAACGCTGTGTTTGTTTAATGCAGCAGCGTTGAATTTTTTTTATTTGTGATTTCAACAAAAAATTTTGAAAATACAAAATGAGAAAGACAAGTGTAAATGACTACAGACTAAACTGCCCACATGTTTTTAAAGGTAAATCATTAGGATTATTAATCATCTGTGAACAATATGAAACAATCTTTGATTCAATACTTTTCCATCTTTTAGAGAATTCTATTAGCATTTAATTTGAAGTATTTTGACATTGATACTGTTAAACCATATTTGGCTTTTTTTCCATTAGTGTAGTTGTTTTGCACAAGGTGATGAAGTTCTGATAGAATAAGATTAATCATATGCTCCAAAAGAGGTTTTGTATCTGTCATTGTTTTCCACCAGGTGAGGAAGTGTGGGACTAACATTCAACTTTTGTTGTTGTAATTTATGTCAAATTCCCAACCCACAAGCTGTGAAAACATGTTAAATACTGAGTATGAAGCCAAAAATTATACAAGAGTAAAGTGGGAAAATAATCTAAATTTCCATCTGCTATGCACATCACAAATTCCCCAGTAAGTGGTCTTTTTACAGATAATTTCCTCTGTTCCCCCCCCCCTTTTTTTTCTGGGGGTAGAACATTGACAGGTACACAGGTCTGAAGACAATATGTGGTGCTCTCTATAAAATCGTCCAAACGCTTGATACAACAATCGTCATGCTTTGAAGTGTTTCTAATTTATTTTGTCAATGTGGTAAGCAATTTGATATGAATATTGTCTGATTTTTTTTATACTTTTAGTGAGGGGTTGACCATTGTAAATCAGGGTGGGCT